CAAAAACAAAAACAAAAGGAAAAAAAAAGAGAGAGAGAATTTCCGTGTTTCCATACCCTGGGGGTACTAAGTGTAGAGTGGTGCCTTACTGCAACCAGGAGATGTAGCATGAGGTCAGAAAGTTCATTCTTTTCTGTCCTCAGGCCGCTGTCCAGGGAACTCCTTTTCCTGCCAGAACAGCCAGTGTGTGACCAAGGTGAACCCGGAGTGTGACGACCAGGAGGACTGCTCCGATGGGTCCGATGAGGTGCACTGTGGTCAGTCTGCCTGTCCGGCCTGGTCTCTGGGCCCTTTCCCTTTTCCAGGGTCAGCTGCTGGCTCTGGTCTCTGGTCACTGTGCTTATGTCACTCAGGCACACAGGCCTGGCATTTACGGGGGCTGGGCAGAGAACAGAAAGGGGCACCCATGGTATGGAGAGAAATGTGAGCAAACAGCAGGGAAACGGAAAAGCGCAGGTGTGTGATGGGGAGAAGCCTGGGGGGAGGAGGGAGAAGATATCAGGCTAAAAACAGAGGTTCTGGCCAAAGCCTGGGAAGTCTTGAATACCAGGAATTGGAGCTCTGTCCTGTAAGTAGTGGGATGTGGCCACAAGGATTTGAGCAATGGAAAGAGACAATTAAAATGCTGGAAGAGATTAGCTGGGCATGGTGCCTTACACCTGTAATTCCAGCATTTTGGGAGGCCAAGGCAGGAGGATCACTTGAGGCCAGGAGTTTGAGACCAGCCTGGACAACATAGTGAGACCCCCATCTCTACTAAAAACAAACTAAAAAAATTAGCCAGTGTGGTGGTGTGTGCCTGTGGTCCCAGCAACTCAGGAGGCTGAGGTGGAAGGATCGCTTGAGCCCAGGAGATTGAGGCTGCGATAAGCTATGATTGCGCTACTGCACTGTCCAGCCTGGATAACAGAGTGAGACCCTGTCTCAAAAATAAATAAAATAAAATGCTGGAAGAGTAGCCAACATTTTTCTAGCAATGCTAGCCCATGCAATGAGGTAAGGACAGCAGTTTAAGTACTGGGAAGGAAGAGGAAAAGCTTAATTCATTTGAAATCATTGTCTATCTAAAATAAATCAATAACCAAACAGAAGGAGAGAAGCTGAAAGAATAAAATAAAATGAATCAAGAAATTGACTAAAAAGCTATATAAAATAAAGGCCAGCCAGGCACGGCAGCTCATGCCTGTGATCCCAGCTCTTCGGGAGGCCGAGGTGGGTGGATCACAAGGTCAGGAGATCGAGACCATCCTAGCTAACATGGTGAAACCCTGTCTCTACTAAAAACTACAACAAAAATTACAGGCGTGGTGGTGTGTGCCTGTAGTCCCAGCTACTTGGGAGGCTGAGGCAGGAGAATGGCGTGAACCCAGGAGGCCGAGCTTGCAGTGAGCCGAGATTGCGCCACTGTACTCCAGCCTGGGTGACAGAACAAGAGTCTGTCTCAAAATAATAATAATAATAATAATAATAATGATAATAATAATAAAGGCCAGGTGTGGTGGCTCACGCCTGTAATCCCAGCACTTTGGGAGACCAAGGTGGGTGGAGCACTTGAGGTCAGGAGTTCAAAACCAGCCTGGCCCACATGGCAAAACCCCATCTCTACCAAGAAATACAAAAATTAGCCAGGCATGGTGGCAGGTGCCTGTAATCCCAGCTACTCAGGACGCTGAGGCAGGAGAATCCCTTGAACCTGGGAGGTGGAGATTGCAGTGAGCCGAGATCATGCCATTGCACTCCAGCCTGGTGTACAGAGCAAAACTCCATCTAAAAAAAAAAAAAAAGCTGTGATTTTGCTTTATACAGTAATAATGGGTTAGAAGATACAAAGGAAAAAATCCCTTTCATGATCAATAGCGACAAAAAATGAAATATCAAAGACTAAACTTACAAATGTGCCATGCCTGTGACGATAATTATTATATATAATTATAGAATTACAAAATTTTGCTGAAGGACATAAAAGTAGACTAAATAAGCACAGAGACACAATATCATATACAAACATGTACGTGCGGTCATCGCCCCTTCCCCACAGCTAAGATAGAGACCTTTCTCCGTCACTCACTGGTGCACGTGACCTTGGATGCTTGACCTACGTGCCAGGATGGGGCAGCCAGAGGAACTGAAGAGGGAGGGATGACCCCAGAAGAGTCAGGGAAGCCAAGGAGGGGCCCCCAAGCATCTCATTGAACCTACGGACTGTAGACAAGAAACTCAGAGATGGAGGTTCTGGGAGTTCAGGGTGAGGTCCTGCCTTCGTGGGGTCCTGGCTGGTGACCTGCTGTCTTGCAGAGTGTGGCTTGCAGCCTGCCTGGAGGATGGCCGGCAGGATCGTGGGCGGTGTGGAAGCGTCCCCGGGGGAGTTTCCGTGGCAAGCCAGCCTTCGAGAGAACAAGGAGCACTTCTGTGGGGCCACCATCATCAGTGCCAGGTGGCTGGTATCTGCCGCTCACTGCTTCAATGAGTAAGCCTCCATCCCAAAGCACCGAACCCAAACCCTCTGTATTTCTCCTGCCTTCCCTCAAGCACTGGGGGTGTCACTTCGCATTTCCTTAGAGCCCTTGGAAGTAATTTTTTCTTTTCATTTCTTTCTTGCTTTTGTTGTTGTCGAATCTGAGTGCATTCTTTTTATTTTATTATTATTATTTTTTGAGACGGAGTCTTACTCTGTCACCCAGACTGGAGTGCAGTGGCGTGATCTCAGCTCACTGCAAGCTCCGCCTCCTGGGTTCACACCATTTTCCTGCCTCAGCCTCCCGAGTAGCTGGGACTACAGGCGCCCACCACCATGCCCGGCTAATTTTTTGTATTTTTAGTAGAGATGGGGTTTCACTGTTTTGGCCAGGATGGTCTCGATCTCCTGACCTCGTGATTCACCCACCTCGGCCTCCCAAACTGCTGGGATTACAGGCGTGAGCCATCGTGCCCAGCCTCTTTATTTTATTTTTTCTTTTGAGACAGAGTCTCAGTCTGTTGCCCTGGCTGGAGTGCAGTGGTGTGGTCTCAGCTCATTGCAACCTCTACCTCCTGGGACGGGATAAAGCGATTCTCTTGCCTCAGCCTCCCAAGTAGCTGGAACTACAGATGTGTGCCACCATGGCCGGCTAATTTTTTTTTTTTTGGTATAATTAGTAGAGATGGGTTTTTGCCATGTTGGCCGGGCTGGTCTCAAACTCCTGACCTCAGGTGATCCACCTGCCTTGGCCTCCCAACGTGCTGGGATTACAGGCGTGCCCAGCCTGACTCTACCATTTCACATTCCCACCAATGGTGCACAAGGGTTGCAATTTCTCCACATCCTCCACTTGCTGTTCTTTTGAGAGTAGCCGTCCCAGTGGGTTTCGTGAAGCAGCATCTCCCTGTGATTTTGACTTGCATTCCTCAGCAACTAATGACATTTTGTTGATGTTTTGCTCATTGTGAACATTTTTTGCATTCACTTTGATTTTTTAAAATATTGTGTTGTGTTGTGATATTAT